GGGCGACAGAGCAAGAGTCAGTGTCAATCAATAAATAAATAAGAAACCTCCCAGAAGGTCAAACACTATACCATGTTCCCTCTGCTTGGTCTTCCCCAGTATAGGAGGAGCTCAAGCTGCGAACCTTAGAAGATAGACTCCTTGCCATCTACAGTTATCCATTTACCGACGTCTTAAAGAAGCAAGAAGTGGAACTCGCAGCCAGTCAGTGATGATGCCAGCAGCTCCTCCTAGTCTATCACCTCAAGAGGAACTGTCAAAATAACAAATGACATATTTTTAAGTTGCAGGATTACCCCTTAGCTGGGCTCTCTTGGTTTGATTAGCAGTTACTTTTTCCTTTCAGTGTCTTTCTTCATCTTCTCCTCCTTCTTCTTTTCATTTTCTTCCTCTGCTCCCCTCATCCATAAAGGCCACTGCTTTCAGGAAACGGCTTCTCTAGGAAGAATTCAGCGGTATCCTATTACAGTCACATTGTCTTCTTGACAGGTATTACCTGTCAACAGGGGTTTGGGACAGAGCAGGTAGCTCCTACCCAGCTCGGCGGAGCCACTCCCTGGCTCCTGGGTAGAGAAAAATGGCCAAAGGAGAGAGCTCTTTGGAGGCCTCAAAATCTCATTTTCATTCCCCTTGCAGAGAAGAGACTGACTTTATTGACAAAGACGACTGAAAATTGCTTGAGCGTTCCAATAACCAGTCTGCGTTGAGGCAGAAAGACAGTCTGGCGGAGGCAAGCTCCCTGCTCCACCGCTAGCTCCGCCGAGCCACACTTTCCTGCAGCACCAGTCTGTGGCATATGCAGACTAGACAGAGAGGAGCCTCCTGTCGGCCTCAAAAGCAGCCCCCCTCCACCTCCACTCCCAGCCTGCTGGTGCGTTTCCTGGATCCCAATCACAAATCAACATGAATGCGGGGAATCTCTGCCAGACACCAAACTCTCAGGCTGATTCAGGAGCTCGGGGTCAGGCCTATGTCGGCTTGGACCAGGCACAGGCCCCACTTTCCACTGCAGTGTCCTGTGGCTTGGCTGCACGTTGCACGTGGGCCACTAGATGTCACCATTATTGATTCTTGTCCTTATACCAAGGTCCTGAGTCTAAGACAGGGTCCCAGGGCTAGGAGAACTCTGGAGAGAATTCCATCACAGCATTGACTGCAGGGCTGCTATGTCCACTGAGTTCCTCGGTGGGCCTTTTCTAAATAAATTAGCATCTCAGACCCAAAACAACTGAGCTGCAAATTAAGCAAAGACCAGTGTTAGTTAACCAGAGCCAACCCTGGCTTTCACAATCATGTCCCCCGCCCTTTCTCCTCCTCTTCGTTGTCATGGTTGGTCATTATGTACCCTTATCCTTCTGGTTTACTTGGGCCCCAATAAGAAATACATTAATATGTATGCCTCATAGCACCAGGGATTTTACATGTCAATGTGCTGTTGGAAAAACGTAGGTCTGTGGCTTTTAGCAGAGAATGAATGACAGGTGGATAATTTATGATGGTCCTCGAGACCTGAACTATAATTACGAAGTATTTCTAGGTGTATATTCAGGATGCAAAGTGTAAGGAACCCAGAGCTAATGTTAATTTATTACTGACAGCTGTATATAATAATATATCACGTCTTTTCATCTTACATTCCTTCTGACTTACATCAAGCAATCTTTTCATTCATTAATAAAATCAAGTCTTGCCATTATTCTTAATGACGAAGTCCCATCCTGAACCCAGAGGACTCCTATCATTAAACTCCGTGCTTCCATATACCAGTCATCTGAAGCTCAATAAAAGGATAAATTGAACTTCTTGTTTTACAAGCAAAGTGAAAACATCGGAAAGATGGAACCCACTTTCTCACAGTCCCACGAGCACTAAGTAGCAAAGTCAGGGGCAATTTTGGGGTTTATTTTTCTCAGCTCGCACTACCACATCCTTTTTTTCCTTTTAGTTCTCTTGCCTCCTCTCACCCTTCCACAGTCTTTCCTTTTTTGAGGCAGTATGTTTTTTAAAGGTCATGATAAAAATTACAGCTTGAAGAAATACGGGCCACACGTCTCGTCCAATTTTCTGTGCTGTGCCAAAGACTTACATGATTAATCCCTTCAAAAGAAATCTAATCTAATCTTATCACATCAAAGACGAGGCGTCCTTCGTAAGTATTGTGGCTGGAAAGAAGTAGGTCTTCCTCCAGTTTCAACTGGTTCGATGTCTCATTCGGTTTGCAACCAGTCATCACCTTGGCAACTTACTCGAGGCACTGTCTGTAGCGTTCCCAAAATGTAAGCAGTGCTCCAGTTCAACTTATAAAGCACTATGCATCATCAGGCTCCCTGGTCACTTTAGGAGATACAGAGACTCATGATACTTGTAGAAGAAGCGAAACCTTTAACCTCATCGACTAATTAATGGCCCCAAAGTAAAATAACAAGGTGTGTGGAGGGATTCAGTTACTGGGTCATCTCTCATCTGGAGGCGGAATCAGATTCCACTGAATAGGCACTAGATAACTGAGTAAGCGGTTTTCCTATCTACAACACTACATCTTACTAGGATTGTTTAATTAAATCATGATAAATAACACTGTGGCAGGTGAGAGGTGCTGAGAAGAGTTTAGGTGAGATGTCCACAAGTTCAATGGAACTACATCTGAATGCCTTTGCATTCTTCTGACTTAAAAAGTTGACTGTAATTTCCTGGAGAGTTCTTTTCTAAGAAACAGAAATACTGAGGTTCTGTGTTCCAGGCTTTTTAAAGTTTCCTTGGTTTTCCTATCAGATTCTGCATTGTATACCTTCTCAGTCTTCAGGAATGAAGGTCTCGATTTTTTCATCATCATTTGTTTCTGCCTATAATGATTTCTTCCTAATGGCTCTGGCTGTTCCAGGTATATCAGAGTAGGGAGGGGGTATCAGTGGCTGTGTCATCCTGCAGTAACAAACAGATTTCTCAGAGAACTAAAATTAGAACTACCATTCCACCCAACAATCCCACTCCTGGGTGTATACCCAAAGGAAGATAAATCATTCTAGCAAAAAGACACCTGCACTCATATTTACTGAAGCACTATTGACAATTGCAAAGACATGTAATCAACCAAAGTGCCTAACAACCGTAAAATGGATAAAGAAAATGCACTACATAGCCAGGTGCAGTGGCTCACACCTGTAATCCCAGCACTTTGGGAGGCCAAGGCAGGTGAATCACTTGAGGTCAGGAGTTCGAGACCAGCCTAACCAACATTAGAAACCTAACCAACATAGAGAAAAGAATTAGCTGGGCATGGTGGTAAATGCCTGTAATCCCAAGTACTCAAGAGGCTGAGGCAGGAGAATTGCTTGAATCTGGGAGGTGGAGGTTGCAGTGAGCCGAGATCGATCATGCCATTGCACTCCAGCCTGGGCAACAAGACTGAAATTCTGGCTCAAAAAAAAAAAAGAAAGAAAGAAAAGGGAAGGGGAAGGGAGGAAGGGAGAAGGGGAGAGGAGGGGAGGGGAGGGGAAGCTAGGATTGTTTGTGCCAATAGCCCATATTTCTTGTTTGTTCTCCCTTTGAACACTTTGTATTTCTGATTTTCCTTGATTGTTTTTCCTTCCATCCTTCTAAGTTAGCCTCCTGCTCAATCTCTCACCTTTCATTGAAACAAAATTACTCAACATTTTATTTTTACTTCTTCATAGCTATTTGGTATAATTGGAATAGCAGAATTATAACTTTGCTGCTGGGCATGGTGGCTAACGCCTGTAATCCCAGCACTCTGGGAGGCCAAGGTGGGCAGATCACTTGAGGTCAGGAGTTCGAGACCAGTCTGGCCAATGTGGTGAAACCCTGTCTCTACTACAAATACAAAAATTAGCCGGACATGGTGGCGTATCCCTGTAATCCCAGCTCCTGGGGAGGCTGAGGCAGGAGAATAGCTTGAACCCAAAAGGTGGAGATTGCAATGAGCCAAGATGGTCCCTCTGCACCCCAGCCTGGGTGACAGAGTGAGGCTCCAACTCAAAAAAAAATCTAATTTTGCTGGTTTCCTAAATTCAGATGAATTCGTACCCTAATATACAGTAACAGGAATTATCAGCCTGTCTGATTCTAAATTTTGTTGGATCTTCCTCCCAGGACAGTGGACAGCCCAGCCAGCTGTAGAAGCCTCTCAAAGATCTGGAGTAGAGGTGTCTCACCACATTCCATTACAATGACCAGAACCTTCAGTTTTACTCCCTTGCTCATCTCTGCAGCCCACCCGCTGAGTCCAGACCAGAGCACCATGCTGCATAGCTCCTAATATAGCAAAACTATTCAGCATTTTTGGTGAACTTGGCTGTAATGGTTCACCTAGTCCCTTTTTCACTGTTAGCCGGCAAAACACCCTGGAATCTTTCTTTCATAAAACAGATCCCAATGACAAACACTGTCGTGCCCTCGGAGGTTTGAGGTTGTGTAACTGGGTCTGATCCTACTAACCTGCAAATTCTGAATCTCTCAAGCAACAAGATTTCCCAGAGTCAACTCTGGCCCTTAACAGGAACCACTTAAAGCCAAGCCGTGAGCCTGGCTAGGACCGCTACATTTTAGCCAAGAACACCTCAAAATGTACAGCCCTACCAAAAGAACTAATACAAATTCAGAAGCCAGGCTAAAGAAAGAAAGGAAAAAAAAAGTCAATGTCCTTTGTTAAAAGCCAATTGCGGAGTGGGGTGATGAAGCTAGCCCACAGCGGATTTAGGTGACGTGGGAGATGCCAAAGTGAATACACGGTGACTTCTAAACCTAGACGTCTGAAAGGGGCCGTGAGGGCCAGGCAACTGGGCCCGAACCCCGCCCGGGAGCCGGGGTTTGCAAGAGGATAAACCCGCTAGAGAGCCCCACTCCCGCAGGTCCGGCCCAGCCGGCCCGGAATGCCCGTGGGCGGAGCCTGAGCCTCGCCCCGCCCCTGCTGCCCGCCATTCGGGTCACCTGACCCACTCGCGGCTCACGTGATCTGTCCCCAGCGCCGCCATTTTGGAGCTCCGGATGAGGAGGGGGAAAGCGGGGGAAAAGAGGGAAAAGAGCCGGGAGAGAGGTGGGCAAGAACAAGGGCGAGGGCACGGCCGGGTCCTGGCTGGCCAAAGGAGGCTCGCGGAAGCAGCAGCCACCGCCTGACCGCAGGTACCGCGTCCCGGGGCCGCCCCTCCGCCCGCTGTTAGCGCCGCCGCCAGCCATGTGCATCCTCCCCTCAGGCCTCTGCCGGCGCTCGCTTCCTCCTCTGCTGGCCGACCCCCGCCCGGTGCTAGCCACATGCCCCAAGTTCCGTGTCCCAATTCTGTCGTCTGTGCAGCAAGGCCTGCGGAGACCCCGGGCTTGCCCTGCAGCTGGGGGTGGGGGAACCTGCTGCTCCGCGCATACTGTCACCAGCCCCGTGCGCCCGCAGGCCCGCCCGCAGGCGTTGCTTCCTTCTTCCGACTTGAGATCGCTTAGACCGGCGGGGCTGGAGTCAGCCACGCTGTTCTCACAGTATCTTTTGATTTATTTTCCAAGCCCCCTCATTCCCCATCATCTTAGTCCTTTAGCCAATGCGTGGTATAGAAAAAGCTAATAGAGAAACGCAGTGCTGGTCTTCTGCATTTACTACCATCCTCTTCAATAGAATCTCCAGAGATCAAGGAGACCACTGGGGAAAGTTCCCACCTCTTAAGACCTGGGGGCACCGAATGAATGGTTTGTTAGAAGGCTGGGGTGATTAATAAGGTGGAGGCTACTTTCCCAGCCCCAAGGCGGTCTTTTTAAGTTTTTGCAGTGGGCTGTAATTTGCTGTCAGTCTGCATCGCTCTTATCAGGCAGTTATTGGATTTATCACCTCTTTTGAGTTTGCACTTTCTCCAGTACTCCGCTGTCACTCAGTGTATGGGTTGCGTTATCGATTAAAAGAAAGCCTGGCCCTTCATTCCTTTACCTCACTAACTCGTTAAAATTAACTTCAGGGGAGGCCTAAAGATGTTTTTTCTGCCCTGACGGTGAACTATTTTATTTAACCGTGATCGATAAGATAGTTGCATTCTAGGTGAAACGAATAAGCATTTTTTATCTTTTAGATTTATTCTAGGCAGTGTAAGAAACAGTGGCAAAGAAATGTAGGACCAGAGTAGGAAACTGCATTAGAAGATATATAGGTCACACCACCGGGTCATGTCTTTTTATGCTGCTCTTCTGCCTACTGTGCTTGCAAAATTTGCAGAATCACTCGTTAGATTTTATATTTAGTTTAGATTAAAATAGCTATGTACAATTATTGTTGCATTCTCATTAGAAAATGATGTCAGTAAAACCAATAGTGTTGGGTCCAGTACGTAAATTCTGAGGTAAAACAAAATATACAATTATTGGGAGAAGTTTCCAGAGCTAATTTTTCCTAACTTCTGCAAAATCCTCAAGTCTGCTTGTTAAATTATTTAAATTTGCATTATGTAATGAGATTGCATGAACATTCCTCTGAATTTCTTTTTATATGGAATACTGAGAAATTTTTCGCTGCCAAAGAAATTCATTACTTTGTTTCACCAAGAAAGAGAAATGTTTGATACTATATACTTTCGTTCTTGGTCACAGCTGGATTTTGAAGATTGATCCAAGGGACTGTATTAATTTCAGGAATTGATTTGAAAGACACTGGCTCTGCCACTTAACAGCCATGTAACCTTGGGTAAGTCACTTAAACCACACCGAGTGTTTCCTTATTTATGAGACTGTATAACACCCACGTAGCCTGTCCCAAAGAGTTATGAGGATCAGATACCACTAACATGTTTGATACAGCCTAGCTGTAAGGAGCTGTTATTCTTTTCAGTATTTATACATTTTTGTTCTCATTGAGAATGCAAAGGAGAATTGGTACTTTAGAGAAAGCATGGTTTTAGAATCAGATTGGCCTGGATTCCTGTTCTTAAACCAGTTACCACTTTATGAGTCTCAGGTTCCTCATCTGCAAAAAAAACAAACCAAAAAAAACCACACCATCATTTGAATATTACACAAACTCTACATAGGCATTACTCCCTAGACTTGCACCTCATGGGCGAGGATTTCCTCAGTCATTTTTGTAGTCTCCAGCACCCTGGTTGGCACATTATAGGTGCTCAATAAATGATAGTAAATCTGAATATTGGTTAATGTTAGTTAGACCTTATGTCTTCATTGCAGCTGCCAAATTAGAATGTTCTTTCAGGCTATGTGCCAATTAAGAAACTCCAGACTATGAAACTCATATACTTGTGATATTTATACTCATTTTTTTCTTAGTGGTAATTAATAATTACCTTGAACTCAGAAGATTTTAAATCAAATTAACTATAGCCAATATAGTGAGGTAAATCTTTAAATAATGTGCAAGCAGCTTCCATGTAACTTTATAGACAGTTTATAATTCAGGGACCTGAAAGTTCATCTAGCTTCACTGGCTTGTTTTACATCTAAGCAATCTAAAATTCAGAGACAGTGACTTGCCTAAGGTCACACAGCTAATTGAGGGCACTTTAGGGGAGGGACCCTTGAGCTTTTATCACCTGCCTTTTGGCTGGAGCAAAATAAATGTGTCATATTTTAGAATTACGATAATCTGGAAGAATGGGGAATTTAGTGGCCATTACTTCTATAGCACATTTTTTTTTTCCAGTTTTGGTATAGCACAAAATTTTGGAAAAAAACAAATTCTTATTCTGAAAGAGAAGGTTCTTTTGTATCATATGGTACTGTCTTTATATATACACAGAAAATTATAGCCTTTTCTCCAGGCCCACATGAATTGTTCAACTTGATTTTCCTCATGATAACCATACTGCTGTAACTGTAAGGAACTAATTAGATACCCAGATAAACCAAATAGCAAATTATAAGGAAATAAAGACAACTGAAATAATTTGGCTCTTAACTTTTGGTGACAAAGATATTAATTAGAAGCGTTTGTCTGTGGAACACTGTTGTCAAGGAAAGATTTGAGAGACTTGGTAGAAAGGGTTATGGAACTTTTCTGGTTTGGGATACAACTTTTGTTTATTATTTGTAACAGTTTAATATATTTACCGTAACATTGTTATGTCTAAGAATTCCAAACAGGAAATCTCCTGTTTTGCTAATGCCTGTAGTCTTCTTTCCTCCTAGCGAACTTTCCTATTCAGCCATATTGATCTTTTCACTCACCCCTAGATAGCATGCTTATTCTCACTTCTAAAAATATAGTAATGTCATGGCTGCTTTTCTTGTCACTGCTACCCTTGTGGCAACTTCTATCAGCAGTATTCCAAGGAAGCAAATGGCATGCTGAAATGAGGATAATTCAAGGAAAGTGTATTTACAAATATCTTAATAATAAAGGTGTTGGACTTAAATAAGCAAACCACAGCAGAATGCAGCTATCTGGAGCTAGCCGCATCAGGAGAGGGAGAGGTATCAGAATCAGAAGAAGGCTCTTGTAGAGCAACCTGCCTGGAGAGAAATAACCTTCTGTTGAGAAACACGGCCAATCCACGGTGACCTAGAGATTGTGAACCAGGACAATGAATATTCTGATCTCACTCTGCTATCTCCCTCTGATCTGTCTTCATTGGCTGACCTCAACCAGAAACCAGAGGGCAGGGGAGCCTAGTGATGTAATCCCTCCTGAGACAAAGCAGAATGGAGAGGAGGATACAGTGAGCCTAGAGGGCAAACAGATGATGTCTGGCCTGCTGCCCATCCTTTGGGAACCAGTAGACATCTTACCTCTCCATGAAGCTTTTGCTTACCTTGCTAGCCCAAAGGAGCTCTTCAGTCTCAGGATTTGGTCATTGACTGTTGCCTTTTCTTTTACCTTGTGTACCATTGCATTGTTAAAAGCTTTTACTTTTTAACCTCTGAATGTTTGCCTTATCCATTCAACTCAGTTTTAAACTACAAGTATTAAGAATTTAAAATTTTTCTGTTTGTCTTGACACTTTGCCTTGTGCCTCGTACGTAACGATTTTTACACACACACACATATTTGTATTTCTGCATTAGTAGTCTAAGTAAAATTTCTGTGCATGTACATAAGTAGAAAGAACAACGAGTTCCTAGGTACTTATCATTCAACTTCAGTCACATAATTAGTCATTCTTACTTGATTCTCATTCTGTCCACCCCACCCCTGCACTATCACCATGGTAGTTGTTTTAAAGCTGTGTTTATGTTGATCTCTTGGAGGCCAGGGAGGGTATGCAAATTGTCACAGTTTATGTTGTCATTCATTATTGAGCCACTGACATTGTAGGTATACTCCTTATTTCGTCTCTTGTTCAGATTTATTTCACTTGCCATGCAGTCCCATATATATGTATTTCGGCATTAGTAGTCTAAGTAAAATTTTTGTGAAAATTTCAAGAGCTGGCCTTACAGTAACTTCCCCTCTGTGTATACTTTATTATCAGCTGTTTATCTAGCTTTTTTTTAAACAGATACTCGTTTTTATTAGATTAACCTGTGCATTGATTTTGCATGTGGACCCAAACTGGTTTTTCAGGTGTTTCTTGATGTATTTTATGTTGTCATATCTGTTTTATAGCTTCCATTACTGTATTTATCCCCAAATGTATGCAGCCTTTAAAATGAGATACTTACATAAATGTTCAGGGAAAATTGGAGCATCTGCTGCAAATTTCCATTAGCTCTTAATGCCTGAGCAGACACAGCTTTAAAAATCTGAATGTTTTGTCAGATTCTTTTGTATTAGTCTTTTTCTTGAGTTAAGATGAACTCCTCCTTCTCTTCACTTCACTTTCTTTTTAAGGTACACACTGAAATATCCACAGGGAGCAATTTGCACTGGTCTCTGTCACTTCTCTTATATCATTAAGTAGAAGAGAGATAACGTGAGTCACCTTTGTAACCCTGTGGGTGTGCAGGGTCTCTTGAACAAACAGTCGCTTGTTAACCTCCAGATGATTAGTCAGCCTACATGGGTGTTACATTTCATGGGGAAAGAGACCTTAGATCTACAGTAGAGAGCCATATTGTGTCCAGAAAATTGAATGTTTGAGGATTCCTATTATTAAACTTACTGTTTAACCAATTTGCATTTAACCATTGAACTGAAAGAAATAAAGCCTTAAGTTAATCACCTTAAAGGGAAATCAGTAGTCACATGAAGAGCCACAGCTCTCCTTGGCCTAAAAATGCAGAATTCTAAGACAATAAAGTGACTTAAGTCACAAAAGGGTTTTTCTAAGGAAAGAAATTGTTCCCCCATTGGTCTCTTCTTTAATGATTCACAGCTGTGTATAGAGATCTAAAAAACTTTCGTTCCTTCTACCTGAGAAAGATAGAACTAGTCTTTTGAGAGATTGTTTAAGGGAGAGTGGCTGAAGGACCACGGGCCTTTGGGAGCCAGGGTAGGTGTCACTGTTGAAATGGTCACGGAATGCCTATTCTGCTGCGAGGGCAGCTAGAGACAGTTAGTGGCAAAGAGAGAAAAGCTGATCCCATAGGGCAGAGTAGTACTAGGAAGAAGGGAAGAAGTAGTACTGAAGAAGCCAAGAGGAAAGTGTTTGCATTTTTGCCTGATGTGGACCTAGATCTAGAAAGCTGGCTTGCCAGAAGGAGTAGAAAATGCGGAAGAAAGCTGCTGCCCAGAGTTGTGGGCGACCTGGCGCTGAAGCTGGCCAGAGCACTGTGTGGGGGAGAGGGGAGGGCGGGGCCTGGCAGGACATTAGGTGTCATCTTGGCAGGGGCTGAATTGATTCAGCCATGCAGGGAAGAACAGCCATGATTCACCACCTAAAATAAGAATTCAGAGCCTGGGACTGAAGTTTAAGAATAGTGTGGTCTTTGGTCTATAGCTGGTGCCACTAAAAATTTTGTTGGCATTTATTGAATGTTGTGAGTAAGATTCCAGAATGCACCTAAAATGTGGAAAAACAAAACTTGTTGCTGGAAAAAAGCCTAAACTTAAAAATGTGATCCAAGTCAACAAATTAATCTCACTTTAAGCCAAAGGAAATGTTTGAAATGAAAGTACTGCCAGGAAATATAAAGAGTATTCTAGACTTAGGCAGAAAGATTTATGGGTATTTTATGTTTAGTGACTTCCTCTGCCATAATGCATTATTAGAGCAAACAGATAACCCTTTCTAAGGACTCTGTCATAATCTGGACCTAAAACAACTGGGATATCAGATTTTTCCTTCTCTGATGTCCCTTACCCTTTCAGGAAAAAAAAAAAATGTATATATATGTGGATATGAGTAATAGTTGACCACTAATATGATCTCCAGAAAAAAACCACAGCATAATTTGTGGTTTATCTTCAGGAAGATAAAGGAAGTAAAAGTAGGAACTAGATAATTGCTTTTATTTAGTTTCGTATGTATAGTACTTTCCCAAATTTACTATGCCCTGTACAGACTACATGACTATAGTTTCACAATTCTAGAGATTTGGGGAGAAAAAAATAAATTTGTGATTTTAGTAATAAAACTGCAGCTGTATTTGGTATAAGAAATAGTCTCTCAAGAATTCTATCAGTCACTGGCTTTACACAGTGATGTTTCACAGTAGCTGGAGGGGGTTTCACATGCCTTGAGAATGGCCCTGCTCCTTTAATCAAGAAATAGGAGCCTCTCTTTCTATCTATCTTTCCTTCCTTCCTTCCTTCCTTCCCTCCCTCCTTCCTTCCTTCCTTCCTTCCTTCCTTCTTTCCTTCTTTCTTTCCTTTCTTTTCTTTTCTTTCTTTCCTTTTCTTTTCTTTTCTTTTCTTTATTTTCTTCTTGGCATTGTGCAAAAGGGAGGGAATACTTCTGGTCTTGCCAGATGCTGAGGGCAAAGAAAGTGCAGAAAAATGGAGAAAAAGATCATCATTTCCAAAGAAAAAAGTGATGGAGGGGAGTATCTTCATCATTAGTCTGGATAGAAGATTGCATTCTAAAGAGAAATTCTAGCCAATTTAAATCTATACTAGGGATAGCCAGGTGTACAGATGTGGAGCTTCCAGTTTAGAAAATACTTAGACACTAAAATTTGCTTATATTTCCTAAATTACATGCCTATAATTATCCTGTAACCTGGTATTTTTTTGTTTTACATTATCCTTTTTAGATATGGAAGAAAGTAGCAGTGTTGCCATGTTGGTGCCAGATATTGGGGAACAGGAAGCTATATTGACTGCTGAAAGTATCATCAGTCCTTCACTGGAAATTGATGAACAAAGAAAAACTAAACCAGATCCATTAATCCATGTTATCCAGAAGTTAAGCAAGATAGTGGAACATGAAAAGTCACAAAAATGTCTTTTAATTGGAAAGAAACGCCCACGTTCAAGTGCTACAGCACACTCTCTTGAAACCCAAGAGCTTTGTGAGATTCCAGCTAAAGTAACCCAGTCACCTGCTGCTGATACTAGAAGAGCTGAGATGTCACAAACAAATTTTACCCCTGACACTCTTGCCCAGAATGAAGGGAAGGCTATGTCTTATCAGTGTAGCCTCTGTAAGTTTTTATCATCATCTTTTTCTGTGTTAAAAGATCATATTAAGCAGCATGGTCAGCAGAACGAAGTGATCCTAATGTGCTCGGAGTGCCATATTACATCTAGAAGCCAGGAAGAACTTGAAGCTCACGTGGTGAATGACCATGAAAATGATGCCAATAGCCACACCCAATCCAAAGACCAACAGTGCATAAGCCCCTCCAACTCTTCATGTCAGAAAACCACAGAAAGAGATAATGAAACCATTCCAGACATCCCAGTAAGTGTGGACAATCTGCAGACTCAGACTGTCCAAACTGCATCTGTGGCAGAAATGGGTAGGAGGAAATGGTATGCATACGAACAGTACGGCATGTATCGATGCTTGTTTTGTAGTTATACTTGTGGCCAGCAGAGAATGTTGAAAACACATGCTTGGAAACACGCTGGGGAGGTTGATTGCTCCTATCCAATCTTTGAAAATGAAAATGAGCCCCTAGGCCTGCTGGATTCTTCAGCAGCCTCTGCGCCTGGTGGGGTCGATGCAGTGGTCATTGCTATTGGAGACAGTGAACTGAGTATCCACAATGGGCCATCAGTGCAGGTGCAGATTTGCAGCTCAGAACAGTTATCATCTTCATCTCCTTTAGAACAGAGTGCAGAAAGGGGAGTACACCTAAGTCAGTCAATTACCCTGGACCCCAGTGAGGAAGAAATGCTGGAAGTGATTTCTGATGCAGAGGAGAATTTGCTTGCTGATAGCCTCCTTTCATCGGCACAAAAAATCATCAGCAGCAGCCCTAATAAAAAAGGTCATGTTAACGTGATAGTGGAGCGATTGCCAAGTGCTGAAGAAACCCTTTCACAGAAGCGCTTCCTCATGAACACTGAAATGGAAGAGGGGAAGGACCTAAGCCCAGCAGAAGCCCAGATTGGGCATGAAGGAACAGATGATGTTTATCATGCTGATAAATGTACTGTTGATATTGGGGGTTTGATCATAGGCTGGAGCAGTTCAGAGAAGAAAGATGAGTTAATGAATAAAGGCCTGGCTACTGATGAGAATGCCCCACCAGGCCGGAGAAGGACAAATTCTGAGTCTCTCCGACTGCATTCATTAGCTGCAGAAGCCCTTGTCACAATGCCTATAAGAGCTGCAGAGTTGACAAGAGCCAACCTGGGGCACTATGGGGATATAAACCTTTTAGATCCAGATCCTAGTCAAAGGCAAGTAGATAGTACATTGGCAGCATATTCAAAAATGATGTCGCCACTTAAAAACTCTTCCGATGGACTAACTAGTCTTAACCAAAGTAGCTCCACCTTGGTAGCACTCCCAGAGGGTAGGCAGGAATTGTCAGATGGGCAGGTTAAGACAGGCATCAGCATGTCCTTACTCACTGTCATTGAAAAATTGAGAGAAAGGACAGACCAAAACGCTTCAGATGACGACATTTTGAAAGAGTTGCAGGACAACGCCCAGTGCCAACCCAACAGCGATACGAGTTTGTCCGGAAACAACGTGGTGGAATACATCCCGAATGCCGAACGACCCTACCGTTGCCGCCTGTGTCACTACGCAAGTGGCAACAAGGGCTACATCAAGCAGCACTTACGAGTCCATCGACAGAGACAGCCTTATCAGTGTCCTATCTGCGAGCACATAGCTGACAACAGCAAAGATTTGGAAAGCCACATGATCCATCACTGTAAGACAAGAATATACCAGTGCAAGCAGTGTGAAGAATCCTTCCATTATAAGGTAAGCATTGGTTCAGGAAGTCTTTAGAGGACCTTAGCATCTTAGAGTGAGAAGGGAACTTTGTAGATCTAGTCCAACCACCTCGTTTTATTGATAAGGAAACTGGGTCCCAGAAAAGTTTGATAATTTGTCCAACGGGGTCCCAACTTAATCTGTATTAAAGTTGGGACTGAAATCTAGGTCTTCTGAATTTCTGCTGTAGAATCCTTTTCCCTGCCTGCTGCCTTCTTAACAGCCTGCATGTTTTAGTGCGTATAGTTTATTGAAAGTGTTGATTTTCTGTTGCATGAGAATTACCAGGGAGTGTACAGTAGAGTCACATCATATACATATTTGACTTACATGAATTTAACTGTACATCATCATGGCAAAAAAATAAATAAATAATCGTATTTTTCATCTTACACGGCCCCAAAATGCCAGGCATTTATTTACTTTGGCTTCTACATAGTCAATAGTGATTTGTATCATTGCAGACGGAAAATTGGGCTACACTGGACCTATGGCTGTGTTGTGGAAATAGAGCCATGTGTGTCATGTTTTATGGGCAGGGTAAAGGACTTTCAAGAGTTATTTTGATTGTCTGATTTTCATCTTAAGTGCTGACCTTACTGAAACCAATATCCTATATGACATGCTATTTTTTTATAAAGGAAACTTGGATTCATCGAATCATTGGTTAAGAACTTTTCTTCTTCAATGGGCCAGGTGAATCTGAAAATGTTTTACAAATGTTATCCTAAGAGCTAACTAGGATGTGGACTTTTTTTCTCTTAGATTAATGAGAGTTGGGGTCTAGCTGTGGTGAAAAGTTAATCAGGAATAAGAAAGTTCTGGAGTCTGAGGTTCACTGCTTCTCAGATTACACTCATGAAATTCCAAATAGCACATCCACATAGGCTTCAAAGGCTAGAAGTCTCCAGGAGCTTCTTTTGCTGCTGAGCTCTTGATTTATGGCAATGGAAGTAGAAGAGACAGGACGTCTTTGGAGGAGCACTTCTAATTAGGTCTTTCATACATTTTTATATTTAAGTGAAGAATTAGGAGTCCGGTGATTACTGATTGGATTTACTTTTGTGAAGTTGCATTATTCTGAACACTGCTCGTTCCTCTCCTGGGCATGCCAGTGGTTCAGTAAACATGGACACACCATGCATAATCACCTAGAAAGCAGTGACTTCCTTTCGGAGAATATAAGAGAGGAACTGCCCTTTGCATGAGATTATGATTTGCTAATGTACTTCTTTCTATAAATTGTCAAATCTGTCAAATGATCTTTTAACAGACTTAATTTTAAAATATGGTCATGCGTATTTAAAATACAGTAGTGTTGTAGGTACTAGGCCATGAAAGCAATGAACCCATTCTTCTACAGCCTCCTAAGATTTGGACATGTATATTTACTGAAAATTACATATTTCTTTTCATTTTTCAGAGTCAATTGAGGAATCACGAGAGAGAACAGCACAGTCTTCCAGATACCTTGTCAATAGCAACTTCTAATGAGCCAAGAATTTCCAGTGATATAGCAGATGGAAAATGTGTCCAGGAAGGTATCTATGTATTTTGTTATGCAGGCTGCAGTGACTCACACATGAAGTAAAAGTGCCCTTAGTTGTCACGATTAGTTATTTTCAGGGCATGAGCCTATATTCTCCTGTGTTTGTACCATGGCCTCAAGTGAATCTGATCTCTGATTGTAAGGAAATGCCACATACTGAATGAAGCAGATGATGACTAGGTCCTAGGTGAGAAGCCATAGATAGTAAGGATTCCTCTTCAGCTGTGTAGGTAGATATTGCAGTTGAAACTTAAGAGCCTCTTCGAAGGTGATGTACCAGCAAGCCAGAAAAGCTGCAACATGGAAGCAGGCCTCCCCACCCTCTCTCAGCACCAGTTGACCTACTGAGAACAGAGCTTTTGCAGATGGTGGGCCCCTACCCCAACCTTTAACTGGGCTTCCTGCTGTGAATCTTATTCTTACCCGAGTATGACTGCCAGATTTCATCTGCATTATTTTAAAAACACACACACACAGACACACAAGATCTTTTTATGTACTAGTTAGGTAGCAGTCGACCGAGTTTCTGGTAATAGGAATATTAGAATTAAAAGATTTAATTAGAGTTCCATGAAAAGGCGGATGCCACATCCAGAGAATTAAGGATAAAGCGTACTAAGCTGTGCCGCTTTGCTTCAGCTCACTTAAATTGATAAACTTTAAATGTTTCCAGTGTGGCACATAATGTTTATGGGAGATAAAACATATTGGGGTGACTTTCCTTTTTAGATTTGCTAAGAATTAAAGTTAGAAATGGCTACAGAGTGAAATGTTTTACCATAATGTTTCATTGAATTATACCCCAGAAAGCATAACTGATTCTCGAATGTTTCTGAAAGAACTGATTTTGACACCACTGTGGCACCAAAATTCTCATGTCAAACAGATGTCATCCCCGTAAAACTCTCCAAAACAAAAGGAGTTTATGACATAGCATCTGTTTCTGCAGTAGATGGCTGAGCTAAAACAGTTTTGTTTCCTTTTTACAGAATATCCCTAAATGCCTCCTTTTATTTTAATTCATTATGTTTCCGTATCCCCTTTAAAGGAGGCATTAAAACGTTTGATATGATTGGACCATAAATCCCTAATGAAGGGATGAAGGAAATACTACTCAGTAGCACCACCTGCAGTTAGGATCAGTGATGGAGATGTCTGTTTTAGCACTGTCCTAAAAAGCAAGCATTTCAAACTGTCCAAATGACTTAACAGATTAAAATTCATAATTTTAATAAAAAGATTAAAGTGTCAGCTCAAAATTAAAATAACCACTTCAGATTTTGCAGTATGAGTGTATGTTTACTAATTTTGTGTTGCAGCATCTTTGTGGCTCATGCCTTTTTCTTAGGGTGAAATGTATGGATTTTTGAATTGCCTGCCCTGCCTCTTTTCTCCCACCTGGCTGGCTCTGTTTGCTTTTTTTCTCTCAGTACTATAGCAGTGCAGATGGCTGCATACTTAACCTGGATAGGTACTTTATTAATTCAGTATTAGATATTTTGAAATTTGGTTGTCAGGCCAAAGAATAAATTTTTAGCTCACAGAGAAAGTAATAATAATTCATGCTTTGTTAGAACTTCTTTAACCATTTAGTAAACTTTTTTTTTTTGTTTTGAGACGGAGTTTCGCTCTTGTTACCCAGGCTGGAGTGCAGTGGTGTGATCTCGGCTCACCGTAACCTCCACCTCCTGGGTTCAGGCAATTCTCCTGCCTCAGCCTCCTGAGTAGCTGGGATTACAGGCATGCGCCACCGTGCCCAGCTAATTTTTTGTGTTTTGAGTAGAGATGGGGTTCACCATGTTGACCAGGATGGTCTCAATCTCTTGACCTCATGATCCACCTGCCTCGGCCTCCCAAAGTGCTGGGATTACTAAATGAGCCACCGCGCCCAGCCTCATTTAGTAAATTTATTAAACAAGAAGAGAGATATGTGCCTCTGTGATCCCCAGTCTCTGCCATTATGATAGCACAGATACCTTAGGGCATGTTTCAGCTTGGCATTTCCTTCACCAAAAGGCATGGCCTGCCTGTCTTGAGCTAGATACTGTGTTAGGTGCTGGGAGTACGGTAAAATGTATCAATGCCCTTTAGGAACCCACCTCAGTAAAGAAGATAGAATGAGGCTGATGGGTATGTCAGCCAATACCACAGGAGCTCAAATAAAGCCGCAAGCAAAGCCATTTCGTATGGAGTTACTCCATGAAACCTAATTAAATTGTTTTTTTTATTGGAAACCTATAATTTGCCAAGCCCTGGGATTCAGTCTAAACAAAACAGGCAGATTCTTATCCTCGGGGAGTAGACAGCTTTCGTGACAGGGCAGAGATTTTACCCAGACATGCAGGTAAAGTACAGACTTTGCTAAAGGAAAAATACAGGACTTACTAAACTATGCTGTGAGGTTCTAGCATTTCCAGTTTGTAGATGAGAAAACTGAGACTTCAAGAGGCAAAATAATTTACCCATGATCATACTGGTAGAAAGTGGCAGAGCGAGGACTAAGCCCAAATGTTTGAACTTTAAATCCAACATTCTTTCCATTGGAAACAGTTGCTTGAAGTAGCACAGGCTCTCATTCTGTGCTATATTAAGTTTTTCCATCTGTCAGTTTTATTAGTTGTCATTGATCTGTAATATTTCTCACACAAAACCATTATCCAATATTTCACACTTCATTTTTTAGGGTTTTTTTAAAAAACTGTATTTGAAACAGTGCCATTTATAATCAAGTCCAAGATTTTAACCTACCAATTAAGAGCAGTACTTAGATTATAATTATGATTAGTGTGTATATTAATGCTATAGATTTATACCACGAAATTAGGACATTTTGTTCTGCCTGGCAGTAGTTATTAGCAAAAGAAAATTTTAATTTTAAGAAGTGTAAATTTAACTTAAGGATTTTCTTTGTTGGAATTTCAATGTGGGTTTTCCTTTTGTATAATACCACAAATTTTACTTTTATGCAGCGTATACAGGTGTTCTGCCTAAGCTTTCTTCCTGCCAAGAGACACAGAGTTCCTCCTGCTCTGCCTTTTTCTTGAGCTTCCATGCTTGCTCTGTTTCTGAATATAAAGCAGTCAGAGTGTGAATAGCCTGTGGACTGTATGCTGACAGACAGACAAGTACATGGAGCATTGACTGTCTTCAGGAAATCGTTTTATATGAACAAGCCACTCAACTCGTGTTGACATAAGCTTACCCCAACTTGAATTACTCAGCCCTGTTGTTGCAGAGTGAGTTTAGTAACATGGCTTCTTTTCATTGGATGGGATCCATGTTTCCTGTGTTCCAGAGAGCTGCATATTCATGTCAGTCATAACCTTTGTCCCTGTCACCTGTCAGTTAACTAGATAGAATTATACATTGCATAGCACTTAATAATTTGCGGCTGCTTTTCCTTTCATGTTGCACTGGTAGCCGACATTTAGTGGTAAACAAAGAAAATGCACTGGGTGAAAAGGCCTTAGGCTTTTTTGGGGGTGGAATGAGGTGGGGAGGGATTTCATGCTCTGTTGCCCAGTCTGGTCTCCAGCTCCTGGCCTCAAGTGATCCTCCCACCTCGGCCTCCCAGAGTGCTAGCATGAGCCACCACACCCAGCCAGGCTTTTTATCTTGAGTTTGTTATATATGCTTCATAGCTATACTTCATTATATTGGATTATAGTATTATGGCTTGTTGGTAAATCAGTGTTTCTTTAAGATGGTGTATCCAATATTGATTAGAGTAACACCTATTTAGTAATACAGATGAACAGGGTATCTCTGATTAATTTAGCTCCTACACATTCAGCCTGAAGCAAGTTCGTTAGGATTTCTTTACTGTACACGGTTATGCAGAAATCATCCCAACCTATCTGTGTTTATAGGTCATAAGATATTCAGTTTATATCTGCTGATAGTGTATATGCAGGAAAACCTATAAAACCACTTCAGACTTGTTAAAACAGCGAGAAAGCTGTGATTGAAATATTAATACAACTGTGTGGTATAAATTTTCATTTACAATGGAATATAAATGCTGTCATTTGAATCTTGTCAAAGTCTGCCACTAAAACTCTGAAATACCTTGTCTAGGAAATAAGTCTTCAGTCCAGAAACAATATAGATGTGATGTGTGTGATTATACAAGTACAACTTACGTTGGTGTCAGAAACCACAGGCGAATCCATAACTCTGATAAGCCATACAGGTAAGTGTTATGATTCTAGAATTTTAATGCTTGTATTAAAATGTTTTATAGTAAAGAAATAAAATGAAATAATTTAAAATTTATACTGCTTATTGAAACTCAGGTTAAGAATGAAGAAATTTTCACTAACTGGTTTTATTTTTCTGTTTTTTTATATATTTATTTATTTTTTGAGCTGGGGTCTTGCTGTATTGCCCAGGCTGGAGTGCACTGGTGTGATCATAGCCCATTGCAGCCTTGAACTCCTGGCCTCAAAGGATCCTCCACACTGGCCTCCCAAAGTGCTGGGATTGCAGGTGTGAGCCACTGCACCTTGCTAGTTTTATAAGTCTTGTTTGGTTTGTTAAGGAGTGCGAACTTTAAGCTTGAATCTTAGGACAGTAGGCATTTTGTCTAGTTGATACATAGGAAGTTGTCTTTATCTGTCAGTTTTATGTTTTTATTTCATATGGGTATAAATTTCATAGCAATTTTCAGTGCCTTATAGTTCATTTGAGTAATTTGGCAGTAACGTACTCAGTATTCCAGCAAAAGATCCTTAAAACTTAAAAGCAGTAAAATTTCCTATGAAAGAGTCCATTTTTCAAAATTAAGCTCGTATGTATAGAATAAGTCATTTAATTTTGTTACTTGATTTTTCCCAAAAGCAAATTCAAATATGTATTTCAGAAAATACAGGCATTCTCAGTCAATTCAGATGAGCAGATAAATAAAAATCATTCTTTCTTAGATAAACTTTGCCTCTTGAGAGTAAACTGCTTGTTGTTTATGTAGAGCCAAGGTGCAGATGTTTTGCAGAGTTTGTCCAGCTGTCACTGAACAGTTTGTTCTGTTTGCAGCCACAATGGAACATCAGGTTCCAACATCAGAGCTAACCTTGTTACTGTGACTTGATAGTGCTAGCCATCGGCATGAACTCTTTCACCCCTTGTCAAAACTTTTCAGGTTTTAACTCTCTCCCCAGATTTATAGATATGATACAAGTTAGTATCAAAGGTTATTCTGTTAATCTTATTGAATACCTGACAGACTCTCATAAAAGGTCATTGTTTAATCCCATAGTGTGGTGATCTGTGTATGATTTTCATAGCAATTTCATAGTTAATATGTGCTTAATTTTCTAACCAGCAGACTTACGTAGAATCACTCTTTAGACAGTACATCTGTTTGTAGAGTTTTTTTTTTCTTGAGATAGATTTTCATTCTTGTTCCCCATGCTGGAGTGCGATGGCACAATCTCGTCTCACTGCAAACTCTACCATCTGGTTTCAAGTGATTCTTCTGACTCAGCCTTCTGAGTAGCTGGGATTACAGGCACCCGCCATCATACCTGGCTAATTTTTGTATTTTTAGTAGAGACAGGGTTTCATCCTGTTGGCCAGGCTGGTCTCTGACTCCTGACCTCATGATCTGCCTGTAAGGCCGGTTGCCTCGCCGGGAGGTTGGACACGTCCACCTCTGCACCCAGCACCAGGCTCTGCACTTTGCACCTAGCTCTGACACATGGCTCCCCTGGAAGGCTCTCCCACTGGAAAACCCGCCCAACAACCCACTAACCAATAGCAGCCTGCCCGGTCTCAATCCCACTCCCCTGGAGTTAATCAGAGCACCCAGCTGTTGCTCGTTCCTTCTAGCCATAAAAACCCCACACCCCAGGAAGTTGGCGCGACTTCCCTGGCCCCTTTCCCTGGGACCATGGAACCCTGCCCGGGAGCTGAATAAATTGGATTTTCATTTTCTTATACTGGCCTCAGTTTCCTCATTTTAAACTCGGCAATAAACCTTACACTGCCCACCTTGGCCTCCCAGAGTGCTGGGATTACAGGCATGAACCACTGCGCCTGGCCTGTAGAGTCTGAGTCTTAAAACTCTGTGGAAGGCATCTGACCCCTCAGTACTCAGTGTCTCTATTTATTTTTTTATTTTCATTTATTATTATTTTTTTTGAGACAGAGTCTCGCTCTTTCGCCCAGGCTGGAGTGTAGTGGTATGATCTCACTTCACAGCAACCTCCACCTCCCAGGTTCAAGTGATTCTCATGCCTCAGCCTACCAAGTAGCTGGGACCACAGGCATGTGCCATGACTAGCTAACTAGAGTCAGGGTTTCACCAGGTGTTGAACTCCTGGCTTCAAGTGTCTGCCCGCCTCAGCCTCCCAAAGTGCTGAGATTACAGATATGAGCCATCATGTCCAACCAATCTGTTTTTATTTCAAATATTTTCAAAACTAGAATCCCTAAGAAATTTTTTTCACAGAGCATAATGAAGGCCATTATTAGCCATAACTCAGTGCCATAAATTGCTACATAAGGAATAATAAGTAGAACTGAGTATATATCCATTCGTGATTTACACTGGGAAATGTTTAGGAGAATGTGATGGAAACAGGGAACACTAGTTTACCTAAGAGGAGGAGGAAGCTTTGCTTTTATATTTTTGGTGTCCTTGAATTTAGGCATGCTGTGCCAGTTTCATGTGATATAGGTAACAAGAAAATAGCATTGCTCTGGGTCCAGAATTAGATTGTTCTTTCATTCATGGATAAATATTTATTGAGCAAATATTATGCTTCAGGGGCCATGCTAGGTTCTTGGACTATAGTCACAACAAAACAGACTTGGAACTTGTAGACAAGCAGTAAGCAAGTAAACCCTCAAATACTTAGAATAAATGTATTAAAAAGGTTAGTGATTCTGGTTTTGTAGAGGAACGTTTTACATCTGCTTTATTAGATCTGTCTTGCAGCTTAAAGATTCATTTTGATAGCTGTCAGTGTCTCAGGGATGTTTTCTCACGTTCTTAAAATATTCAGACTCATAGGATTTGTTGCAGTTGTCCTAGGGTCTTCCTACCAATGGGCAGCATCCTATGAGAATCCTCTTTGTGTAACATCAAAGAAGTCTCAGTCTGTTATTTTCCAAATTTATTCACACTTCACTTTGTCACTGGGTTTGGTGTGTTTACGCCTTAGAAAAAAATATCGTCATACATCCCTCTTTGTACTTATTATCAGTTTTTCTTCATATGTCTTATTTTCTAATCTCGTGGCTCTCCTTTTAACCTTCTTTAAATACTCACCATCCTTTGTCTTCATGGGATTTGTGGTCATGGAGCATTATGGATTAACGTGTTCTATGCCAGGATGTTTCAAGGACGTTCTCCTCATTGTCCTGTACCGTGTGCCTGAAGCTGAGCCAGTGAGCATAGGCTTCATAATGTCTGACTTAATCCAAGGATCACAGGAGTCTTTCTGGCTCATTTCATGTCTGCTTCACTTAGTTTCGTTACCTAGTGCACTTACGGTCAGAGTTTGGACTTGGTTTCTCAGAGTTCCTGCCATACCCTATGCATTTCTGATTCCCTACATTTCCTTATGAAACATGCTTACAAGCAGTGAATTGAATTCTTACAGAGCTAGAAGGCCTTTTTGCACAACTTCTAAACTTTGTACAAGGGCACAAAAGGTTTATTTTACTGTGGCTGTTACATCATAGGTTTTCTGTAGTGGTGAAACCTGTTTCTTTCTCATGCCTTTGCTTTTTATGCTGTCAGTCCAGTCCTTCAGTAACCCCATCTCTGTGGTCTGAGCAGTACAGCTTCATGGATCCCTGGTTCTGGGGGAAGATAGTCCTGGGGTTGAATCTGAGCTCTCTCACTTGTGGGATTTGTGACCTTGGGCAAAGTGTTTCACCTCTCTGTGCTTGGTTTTGTCATCAACAGAATGAGGATATTAAGGTTGTGAGGATGAAATGAAATACCATAGAAGGTACCAGCACAGAATAAACAGCCAGTAAGTGGTGGCTGTCTGGTAGTTACTGGACCCAGCTTTTACCTTCTCAATAATTCATTATCTAACCAAAGAAAAGTGCTAAAAGGCTATGACCTCTAAACACTAGGGAAACAAAGAATTAATTCTGTCCTAGGGTAGGCAGGCAGAGCTCGTTTTACAGGAAAGATGCAGGGCCCAGGCAGAATGCTGTCACTGCTGAGGTCCCTGTGCTATGTCTGACTGCTTTGGAGTCAGTCTAGTGCCTTGGGAGCATCCCAGGCCTGGACCACACATCTCTTGTGCCCCACTGGTGACCTTGGGAATGTTATGCCACACTAAGTCTCTTTTCCCATATGCAACTAGGTGAATACTTCCCCACACATAAGGCTTTGTGAAGATTAAGTGAGATTATATTTATGAAGCACCCAGCATGTTACTAGGTGCATGGAAGGGGCTTGTTCCCTTTTTCTGCTCATGAAGTTGTCAGGTCATCTCAGAAACCCTGTTCTTACCCCGAAGGAAAAGAGCCATTTTCCATTCCTATGGAAGGACAAGGAAGGATTAAAATGACATCATTTCCGTCCCAGTCCCTACCACTGCAGCTATTAATAACTTTGTTTTGATTCTCTGTAAACCATACACCAATTATAGTTATACCTGACATTTCTTTTTTTTTTTTTTTCTTTTTTAAATTTTGTTTTTCCATAAGTTATTGAGGTATACAGGTGGTGGTGTTTGGTTACATGGGTAAGTTCTTAAGTGGTGATTTGTGAGAACCTGGTGCACCCATGACCTGACCAGTATATATTGCACCTTATTTGTTGTATTTTATCCCTTGTCCACCTCCCACTCTTCCCCCAAGTCCCCAAAGTCCATTGTATCATTCTTATGCCTTTGCATCCTCATAACTTAGCTCCCATGTATCAGTGAGAACATACAATGTTTGGTTTTCCATTCCTGAGTTCCTTCTCTTAGGTTAATAGTCTCTAATCTCATCCAGGTTGCTGTGAATGCTGTTAATTCATTCCTTTTTATGGCTGAGTAGTATAACGGGGGTGTGTGTGTGTGTGTGTGTGTGTGTGTGTATACACACACACACACACACACACACACCCGAGTTTCTGTATCCTCTCATTGATTGATGAGCATTTGAGTGGATCCCACGATTTTGCTGTTGTGAATTGTGCTGCTGTAAACATGCATGTACAAGTATCTTTTTCAAATAATTACT